CTTTAGGAAAATAAGGAGAGATTTTTAATTTTACAAACAATTCACTTTTTGCTCACAGTAGTATAAGTTTAAAGTGACAAACTCGAAAGGCACTTTCAAACTAAAATTCAACCGATTCAAATCTCATCTTTGAGATTGTAAAATTCATTACAGAAACTCCAAGCTTAGCTATTAGTTAGCCAAATTAAAGCAAATTCACAGCACAGAATATTCATTAAGAAGAGAAGTAGTAAGACAGACAATTAGAAAGAAAAACAACAACTTCAAATAAATAAAATAAAATAAAATAAATATATTTGCTTAAAATGCTTTTGAAGTTGATAAGTGAAGTGAAGAGGTTGCCAGGATGGCGTAGGTGAGCTGCAGTAGTAGCTAAAATGAATGGCAGGATTTATTAGGGAAAGGATATTGAAAACCAGTGGGTGTGTATGTGTATGTTAGTTTGTACAGAATTGTCTGAAGTGTCGCTTTGTAGGCGGCAACTGATTGCAATAGTTTGAGTTCAAGTTCTACACATACATATATACATATCTACGTACTTCAAAGCAAATACTCATATGCGCATGTGTGTGAGTGTTTTTGAAAAGAAGTTTTCGTCTGCGTTAAGTAAATACACTCAAAAGTGTAAATAAATATTGCACATGTACGGTATATATGAAGTGCACTAAAAGCAGAAACACAGCGAGAAATACACATATGTACACACACGAGACTGTATAAGCCTAAACAAACATGACAGACACAGAGAGCGAGAGAGAAATGCGAATGTAAACAAACTGAGTGCAGCACTCAGTGAATATATGTAAGCACTCATGTTTAGTTGTATGTATGTATGTATGTATGTGGGTAGTCAGCAGTCAGTTGGTAGTCATTCAGTTAAACAGTCAAGGTAACAGACAGCGATTGAACGCTAGACACAAGGTAGACAGTTAACTGACAAAGGCGCTAGGGCAGTTGAAGAGACAAAACGGCAAAGGAAGAGAAAAAAAAACAAACCGGCGAATGGTAGGCGTTGAAGGGAGAAATGCATTGAGTGTTTTTAGCAGCGATTGACGTTAATTTTTTGCACGAACTCCTGCCGGCGCATGCAATCAAACTGTGAACTTGCAACGAGCGCCAGAAAATTCATCAAACGCACCAAATAGCAAATAACAGACGTAAAGAAATGAAAAATGACTGCTGAGTAGTGAGTGCTGAGAGTAGGCACATACAAAAGCACGCACTCACACACACACACACACACACGGGTGAGTGAGGAAATCTGGCAACAGTGTAGGTATATGTGTACGCGCGCCCTAAAGCGGAGCGCGGAAAACTGCTGCTGCTGAAATGTTGTTGAAGGTTCGCAAAGTTGAATTAAATATTGCCTCAGGATTTGCCAACGACTGCTATTTACCTTACGTTAATGAAGTTGAGCATTTTTGCTTTTAAGCTCGTTTTTTTGCTTTTTTAATTTGCTGCATTCGCACTCGCACTACGCGCACATTCTTTTCGTAATTGAAAGTCAAATTCCGGCAACTGTGTGAGCGCTGCAAGGCAAAAAGAGAACAAAACGAGGAAGAAAAAAGGAAAATTGCACAGAGTGTTGCCGTGGAAAATTAGTAAAGAAGGCATTAAAAAATGTAGAAAAAAAGTATGCGAAAAAGGAAATTCAGCAAAAATATAAAAAAGTAATTAGTGCGCTCAAACGCTCAACAGTTGAAAAATGGGAATTTAAATAGCAACAGGAAAAAATTCAAAATAAAAGGAAAATAAATACAAAATATAAGAGAATAAATAACAAAAATCAAAAAGAAAATAATCTGGAAAAAAATTTGAAATAAATAAAAAATTATTGCTTGAGTATTTAACTACAGATAAAAATTATATACATAAATAGCAAAAGCATTAAAATCAGTGGAATAAAAATAAGTGGATAAAATGGCAAAAAAAAAAAACAAAACAAACAGCAGCCAAAGCGTTAAGCAAAGCAACCATTTGTGCTTGAGTGAAAAAAACCCAATGGAAAATAATTCTCAAATCATAAAATGCAAGTCAGGAAGTAATTAGCAACGCAGAAATGGAAATAAACGCTCAAGGCTTGAGTAAAAAAAAAGGAAATAAATAAAATTAAGACATCAAAAATAATAATTTAGCTAGTAGTTGGAAATAGAATGGACAAAAGGGAGTTTATATTTCGCTGAAAAGACAAAGGTTCATGGAAAACGGAATTCTTGGAGTACAAGTAGGCATAGGGAAGCGCCTTCGGTATAGTGGAAATGGAGTTTATATATCAACAATTTATATATATAAATATATATATATATGTATAATTTATTTTTACTTCCCCGAAAAATGGAGACATAGAGAATACTCTAAGCTTATGTTTCGACTGCTTCCTTCAACTTTTGGTCAACATAATCGGCCTATCGCGCGTACTATTCGCTACGCCATTACCCATCTCGAGACCGAGCATTTATTATTGGATAATATTCGACCGAATAGGCCATGCCCAGCACGCAGTGAAGAAAATATAGCGGATGTCGCTGAGAGTGTGCACGAAGGATGCGGACTGGCGTATGGAACGACTCGAGATCTTTAATTGAAAGCGTACAGAGTACATCTTGAGCAAGAACTGGGGACGATTGACCCTTTTAAACGACATCGATTAGCTCTATGAGCTCTTGAAAAGTTCCAGGTAGATCCGATGATTTGGAAATAGGAAAATCTCCAAACATTACTGAATAGCTTCCGGTGTAGCCCGCATGAAAACCACTAAATAGTTTTGAAGCAGCTTTAGGAGGCAGTGATCTTGAAATACCGAAAAAATCTATGCCTTATTTTATTTTGTTCGAGTTAGCGACTCATATTAGTTCACGGTTGGTTAGTTGATTGATTTTTTGAAGGGGAGTTTGATAAATTTTCGGTAAGTTGTCGAATCGTTAAGAAATTAAGAAGGCTAATTACCCAGTACACACCAACTATGCAGTTTTGAACAGTTTGCTGGATGAAATTTCTTCCTACTATGCATGGCGACCTCTGTAGGTCCGGAATTTTTTGCTTAATGCCAGCAAGAATATGGTCTGTATGTAGCGAGGTGGAAGCCTCGTCAGCAGCAGCAAAGTAATATGGCTCTTTGTTTTCTCGCATGTTCGCCCACATTTTTTTTTGCGTTGACGCATTAATAGGAATCTGTCTACAAGAAGTCTAAAAGATCTCCCTATTTGCTTTTTTTCACTACCATAAGTGTCCACAAAGAGATAACAGAAATGCTGAGGTGATTTTATGAGATTGAGGTCAACTTCGATATTCGGGCGGTTTTAAATACTCAGGATGTAAGTGTATTTTGTAGGCATTTGAGAGAAGGTTTCCTTTCCTCAATCGTACTGTAGGCCAAGCTCGCATTTGGTTATAACTTATTGTATGGTTGGAAATTACGAAACTAGATAATGCGATTGTGCAGGATTTATATACGGCCTGCTGTTCGTGCTGCCTCATTCGTCACTGGTGGAAAGTTCAAATTCAGCTCCTCAGCTAATATATTTCCTTCAGCTAATTATTTCAAATTATTTGACCGAGCCGAAGGTTTCAAAATATGTATAAACCAAACCTGTATAGCAATTAATATGCTACAAATATATATCCTACACCAGGAGAAATTTGGCTACCCTTGCCTATTGGATATTACGCTCTTACGCTTCAAAATTTGTGCATCGACGGGTTGCTCTAGTGGTTTTGTAAGTCAAATTTATACCACTTAGGAACTGCCTTTTTTCAGCAAAATCAAACACATAATTTCTGCTGTATTTTATTTGTCGGCGTTAGGCGGACTTTCGCTTAGATTACGAATAACACCTCAGCTTTTGACACAACCCAGCTCGCAAGCTTTGTATCCAGTTCAAAAATGGTTCATTAACTTTCTTAAATAGTTTGAAAATATAATCACTAATTTTGAAAAGTTCGCCTAGGGCTGAGTTAAATAAGTAGACATTTGTGTTAGATTGATATTGAATTAGCTTCAAGTCGATCACGAAATGTTTACTGTGCCCTGTGTGCTTGGAACAATAGATACTGCCATCACATACCGATCTTCCAACACCGTTGGAAAAGAAATAATGGCCTAAAGAGGCAATAGTTCCGATCGCAGAAGCACTGTTTGCTATGGGGAACAGCATTTTGCACATTAAATTTATTCACAAAGAACAGGTTACTAGAGCCGTTGCTTGGAAATTTGCGTTGCGCGGTATGGTACAGTACGCCTTTTCGAGGTAAAAAATATTAAAATAAAACTACAATGAAAATTAATTATTTTTCCATAAAATTGTAGTCGTATTGAGCAAGACCATGTCTGAGGAACGCCAGGGGCTTTTCTGCCGTGTTTAATTTAAGGGCATTTGATAGTTGTTCAATTAAAATTTATATAAAAATAGGAGGCTTCAACAAAAGAATTGTGAAAAAGGATCGCTCCTGCTGAGAGAGGAAAAAAATCAAGGTAAATAAGCCAACGTCTTCATAGTCAGCCGCCATGCGCTAAGGACTTACATACCATAATAAGTATAAAATTAAAAATAAGTAGGAAGTAAAAAAAAGTGCTATACATTCATATGTGTGTGTCTGTGTGTTCATCATTTCTGTTGCCTTTATATAATTGCAACGCCACTGGCGCTCATTTACAAACCACACGAAGCGCAGGAGCCACCGTCATTATCATAGCAGCGACCCGTAAATCCGGCTCAGCGCGGACAAATGACAAAATAAAAGAAGCGGCTGCAGTAAAGACCGAATGAAAAAATAATACAAATAAAAGAAAGTTTAAATTAAAAAAGAAATTAATTTAAATAGAAATGCATACCAAAAGCAACAGAGCACCGAAAGGGAACTGGAAAAATAGCCTAGCCAACTTGGTCGCAGTTTTTCTGCCAACTTACAAGTACTTGGTGATATTTGAATTTTTTTTTTTACATTCTTTTATGTCATTTGCCATCTTTATTGTTGCTGTAGTTATTGTCTGTTTGTCTTACCTTGAGAAAAAACAATCCACCTGCCGGCAGCGTAATCCTATGGGATCCGGGCAGTATTTTCAACGGCACACCGTCCTTAAACCATTGTATTGTGGGCGTTGGTGAACCCTCGGCTTTGCAATTAAGTGTCGCCGGTTCATGACGCGGCACTGTCGTATCTATCGGATGCTCGACTATCCGTGGTGGATGAGAGCCTGCAATGAAGAGTGGAAAGAAATGGGAAAAATGTTTAATGCATAGTGGAAGAAGAGACATACTTTACTACTATACATACAAGCGTGTGTGGGTACATGAATAAGAAGAAACAGTAGATTGAAAGAGAGGAAGGAATTAAAATGCGTCAGTGAGGAGATGCACGAATAAAGAGTGCAGGTGGCGTGGGATTTCAGAACCTGTAAAGTTGGTTCAAATGCTGATCCACTCAGCTGCTTTATAACTTCATTTCCATCCTTGTAGTTGATGATTTTTTCTGCTCTGTCCAAGCATTCTCATTGCGCATACTTTCGTTGGAATTTTAAAGTTAATGCGAATTGCAAATGATTGCTATGTAAATTACCAACTGTAATTCAGAGCAGCTACTGCCCTGCGCTAAGCTACCAATCCCAGTTGCATTCAGCCGCTCTAATGGCTGGCTTGCCGCAGGACCATTGCTGATAGCTGCCCAACGACACCCGGCACGGAAGACCTCTCATTTATGTTTATTTTAACCTTTCTCTATGCAATTTTTGTTCTTACCTCATCCACTTGTTTTCCTTTCGTTCTCACTTAATTTTTGTGTTATAATTTTTCACTTGAGGAAAAATTCCTTTGCTTGCCACATTCAACGCTTTACTCGTGGCACACTCAAGTATCTTACGGAAGTGCCTTGATACATGCCACATATGTGCATACTCGTATATGTTCTCTGTGATTTCCATGGTGCACTTGAAATGTTTCCGTATGAGTTTGTTTTTAAATTAAAAGATATTCTTACGCTTATGGGTTTCCAATTAAACCTAGCACTTCTATACAGACGTAAACAGACAAGCAGTAAATGAGTAAGATATAAAATAGAAGTACACTTGAGGTGCCTTCGCGCAGCTATAGCTTCTCACACTTGAGTGGGTTCTATTTAATAATAAAAAAAAAAAAATACATACAAAATATTACATAGAGAAAAGAGGCAATACTTAAAACCTTAGTCCGAAGACCACGGGCCAATATCAAGGACCAAATATCAAGGGCCAAATATCAAAGACCAAAGGCTAAAGACTTGGGACCAGAGACCAGGAACTAGAAACCAACGACCAGAGAGCCCAGAGACCAGAACCTAAAAACTTGGGATTGGAGACCAGAGACCAGAAACCAGAGCCAAATGATCAATGGCTAAAGACTTGAGACAGGAGAACAGAGACTAGAAACCATAGACTGGAGTGACCAGAGACCAGAAACCTTAAACCAGAGAGATCAGGGACCAGAAACCATAGACCAGAGACCCGAGACTAGATACCAGAGCCAAAAGGCCAAAGACCAGAGACCAGAGACCTGAGACCAGAGACCAGTGACCAGAGCCCAGAAACCAGAGACCAGACCCAAGAGACCATAGACCAGAGACCAGAAACCAGAGACAACAGAGACCAGAGATACCAGAGACTAGAAACCAGAGACACCAGAGACCAGAGATACCAGAGACCAGAAACCAGAGACCAAGGAACCGAAAACAAAGATCGGAGAACTGTGACTAGAGGCAAAAAGACCAGGAGACCAAAGACCAGAAACCGGAACCCAGCCTCCAGAAAATACAAACCAGAGAACTGAGATTAGAGACAAAAAACTAGGGACCAAAGAAAGAGGCCAGAAGACCAGAAACCAGAGACCAGAGACCGGAAAACAGAAACTGCAGACCAAATAACAGAGATCAGAGACCACGGACCAGGAAATAAAGCTTAACCATCAGAAATCAAAGCAAAGACAAGAGACTAGAAATCATATACTAGGTCAAAAGACCAGACACTGGATGAAATCAAAATGCCATAAACCAAAGATAAAATACCTAAACCCAAATACCAAAGACCAAAAACTAGAAACCAAAAACCAATGACCCAAGATGTAAGACCAAAGGCCAAATACCAACCATCAAATACCAAACAGAAACTATGAAATACTTTAGTCCGCAGATGGACGACCGTAGACTGAAGAAATGACCGAAATTAACTAAACATCAAAGACCAAAATGCAATGGGCAGGATTTAGACAGGAGCTTGCGATAGCAATACAAAAAAGCAACAACTTTAAATAGGATAGATGGAGTGTCTCTTTCATACCGAGCTTCGTAAGATCAGCAACCACAGTTTAAGGTATTTCTATGACCATAACAGTGAAAGATTTCGAGCTTATTGTATTCTTCTGTTTTTTTTACTTCCTTTGAAAACCTAAGAATATCTTCTAACTTCAACAATGGGAATTCTAATAATTCGTTGTAAAAAACTCTTGTCGTTTATACTCAGAAGAAAGTTGGGTATTCATCTCGAAGACACGCAAAGAAACTGAGTGACTTTGCTGAGTACAATCCTATTAGATTTCAAATCTAGTGCCATATTTAGGCACCGAAAGCATTATTCATTCCCAAGAAGTACAGAAAAAAAGTAGAAGTTATCAATTTGGAAGGGATTTGACTTCAGTTGGTGGCCCAACATCAGGTTATGGGAAAAATATATCCGTTGAGTTAAAAAGAATAAGTTTCATTCTACCAATGTATCCATTTAAAATCACTTAGAAATACAGCGAATTTAAATAAAATCCCATTTCAATACAGTTTTCTTGAAATATGCTTTTAAAATTTTCTTGCTCTGCCAAAGTAACCCACTTTCGCTTTCGCTTGCTCCATTTCTACGAACTTTGCTTCATGAATTTTAAGTGCATTTTTACAATATTGCTTAACTTTCGCAACAATCTGTGCACTCTGGAGCGATAATATTTATAGCGTTACATATTGTTGCATGCAACATGGGCATCGAACAATACCTACGGTACCTGCTGCTCTGTCAATTGTGCCAATTTACATTTTCCATTTAGCAATTTTTAATACACACATTGGCCACACATCTATACTAGCTTACATACATATACACACGCGCAAACTTCTTCATTGTAGGAATAAAAGTTTATGCATTTTCAATGTAACTTTAGTAGTGTGGCACGCGCACCCGTAGCAAACACCTGGCCACGCCAAGCAAGTACAACTTGCAACAAGTGATGTAAAACGCTTGGCTTGCTTTCATTTTGTTGGGCTTAGCTGCGCTTGAATGCAGCGCATTGCACTGCGTCAGTCGCGCGGAAAATGACTAAACTTGCACGCCAACAGGCTGGCCTCTTTCCTGCCATCCATCACACCAACTCTTCATGAGGTGATAAACAAAGTCGCCAGAAAGTTGTTGCCGTCGCTAAGTTGCGAAAAATTGTAAAAGGCAAGCGTGCGCGCACGAGCGCATGAATTTAACACGAATTTCTTTGCTACATGCAATCCGCCAGTCTTGCATTAACTGAGTAGCCGCCACCTGGAGGCAGATGGCAGGTGGCTCGACGCGCTTAAGAGCCAAAATAATTGTCAAAAGGTGGCAAGAGTGAACAAAGGGCGACACGCGACTTCATGCTTACCTGGTGGCAGCGAGTTCTTACGTTTCTTTCCTCTTGTTTTTCACCTTTTCCATATTTCTTGGCTTTCTTGCACATTTTTTTGTACTTTTTTACTTCGCCTCGTTTTCTTGTTTGTAAACAATATTAACTTTATTTATATTCACACATTTTTATAGCTTCACGGCCTTTGTGATGAAAATTGCCAAAGTGTGCTGAAAAGTTGACAGAAACAAGCGAAATAAGAGCAAAGAAAAAGTGCAGAAATTTCCTCAACTTTTCCTTGTCACGCAAAAAAATCATTTACAAGGCCATGTGAAACAAAGTCTAAGCTGAGCAAAATTATTGTAATTTATAAAACAAAGGCGCTTCAGTCGTTGCCTTGATGAGCTGAGTTGAACAGTGTAAATAAGCTTCTTTGTAAGCAGTAATTACGTGCATTAACGTATTTCTTAAGCATGGTTTAAGGAAACATAAACTCACTTATTAAGGCGCGCTATAGACAGTTACTCTATATAGAAATACAAGGGGAACTTGTGGAGAGTTGAAATAAGTACATGTGTTCCAGAGTCCTAGTCAACACTTCTGTTGCCTTTCACCAACTTCAAACATTTGCAACACCGAAATTTAGGCTTCTTAAAGCACTTGGTACAACAATCAGAACAATGAGAACCCATAAATCTCAAGCTGTTTGTACCGAAATTTTCTATAATGGATTTTTTTTTATTTTAAATATAACAAATAAAAAAAAAATAACAATAAAATAAAACGAAAAAAATAAAAAAAAACTATTATAAGATGAAATGAAATAAAATTAATAAATTATATAAAATATTATATAAATTTAATATATATTATATATACATTATATATTATAAGTAGTTCAAAATAAAATAATACAAGACTAAATTATATAATAATATAATAATAATAAATAAGAGTAAAGTAAATTAAATTATTAATTAATTAAATTGAATTAAATAAAAATAATATATAAATTAATATACAATTAAATTTGATAAAGTTAAACAAAACAAAATAAAAGAATGCATAATATAAATAAACAATAAAATAAAATGAAATCAAATTAATAAACTAAAACCAAATAATATAAAAGAAAATTAATTAAAATAAATGAAATAAAAAAATACAAAAAAAATAATATAAAATAAATAAATTCAAAAGAAATAAAGGAAAGTAAAATTAAAAGAAATTAAATAAAATGAATTTAAAATTAATAAAATAAAAAAAAAAACGTAAATCAAAAGAAAATAATAAAAATACAGAAAAATATAATAAAATAATATAAAATAAATAAAAAAATGAAATAAATAAATAAATTAAAAAAAATGATTTAAAATTATATGAAATTATAATAATTTCAGCCAAGATATATAAAATAGAGTAAAATAAAATAAAATATTTAAAATTAAACAAAATGAAATAAAAGATAATAAGATAACATAAATTAAAATAAAATCAAGTCAAATAAAACAAAATAAATCAAAACAAAATAATACTAAAAAATAAAATATAATAAAATAAAATAAAATAAATAATATAATTTAAAATAAAATAAAACATAATAAAATAAAATAACATAAAATTATATAAAAAATAATATATAATTTTGTAAAAAAAATTAAATTAAATTAAATTACATTGCGTATTGAAATTCAAAAGGTTCGGGCTCAAATCCCCGTGCGACCAACATCCAAAATTTATAGAAATTAATTTAAATAAAAAACTAAGCAAAATTTTCTAATTTCGGTTGCCACTCGGCTGGGAATGTCAACCCTTTCGAGTGTATTTCTGACATGAAATGAAAGCTCCACGTAAAAAACCGTCAGCCGTTCGAAGGCGGCTTAGTATGTATAAGTGTATGTTTTTCCATTTTTTGGAAAAACATCAAGACGCATAACCACAAATTGGAGGAGGAGCTCGGCCAAAAATCGCTTCTGGGGCTACAAATTTAAACTAAGTTCTAAAAATTTAATATAATTATTTAAGATTAAATGAAAAAATATTGAATTAAATAATATTAAAATAAAAAAAATTAAGTCCAGTAAATTAAAACAAAACAAAAGTAAAAAAAAATAAAAAAATTAAATTATAAGTTTAAAAAATAATCTTTTCAAAAATATTATATATAAATTTTAAGAACTGAAATACTTGGAGCTGTTGGTAAATAGATGAGATCACTGGATTCTAGGAAGTAACTTCACGCAGCAGAAAAATTTAAATATGTGTAAAGAGCGTATCGGTCAAGAAACTTTTTTCTTTTCTTTTTTATTTTTGTTGAAACAGCGTTAGCTGTAGTTTTTAGTTTGACCTCCAATTCTTCTGCTATGGCAAATTTCTCTCTGAATATCGACACCTGCATATGAGAGAATATAGGTATAATGTCCGTCGAATGGTATGGTATCAAAAGAAACTTTTATAAAGTAGACTATTGTCAATCTCATATGATCCGCAGGTGGTGAGGTCTAGCTCATGAGCTGAAGAAAAAATTAATTTCTGTTTCAAAAAAAATTATAATAAGACTATATTTGAACAGATCTCCTGAATCCTTTGATAGGTAGTAGTTGTAGTAGAGGTGAAGTAGTACAAAGTATTAAACCCTTGCATTAGCTTCGTCGCATGTTTATTTACTTTTCAAAGGAATTTTTTTTATTACAATTTTTTTCATTTTTTGAATTCAAGGTCAAGATGTACCAAGCAACAAGCAAAATTTCTTGAAGCGACTATTACGCATTTTATCAAAGGTTTTTTAAGGCAAAAACAAATTGATTCAACGTGAAAAATGTCATTATCGAATCATTTAAGCGAATTGAAATCAATATGTATTATATAAATATTTGTTTAACATTTTTTTTTTTTAATTTTTGATTTTATTTGTCAATCCACAGCATATTCAAATCAAAATTTCTTAAAAAAATTCGAGTGAAAAATTTTGTTTCAAATTCTTTTGCTTAGTAAATTCAAAAATATATATATGCATCAAAGTAGAAAGGATCAATTACGTCCTGAAGGCATGTCGCCACAAAATAATTAAGAAAAACTGGCAAGTTGTTGACATTTTAACTACTGTAAAATTGCGCTTTTAAGCGATAAAATCTACATCTAACACATGTAAACGTATAGCAATTATGGGCTAGCAATGAAGTTGCTGGCTACACAAACTCACGCATACGTACACTGCACACACATGCACACACATTCACAAGCGCAAGGGCTGACGCAACAAATTTTATGGTAAAATGAATGCCATACACAATTTAGCTGGCGGCTATTGCTTTTCGTATAACGGTCATTGTAAGTTGCTGCAGCTGCTAGATTAACATGCATACATATGGGCCCATACATACACGTACATGCATAAACATATTCATACATACATAAACATATACATATACATACATATATAAATCGGAGATGAACTGCTGCTCATGCATGAGTTTCGGCTATCAATGCTCCTGCTATAGTGTTTTTCGACAACGAGCATATCGCTGGGTATTTTGTTATTGCAGTTGCAGTTTGTGGCTGTTGTTGTTGTTAATACATAAGGCATGTTGTTGTTTTTACATACGGCTTGTTGTTATTATTGTAATTATAGCGTCTACTGCCAGGAATACCATTCATTTTGCGCAGCGCTTGCGTGTATTTGTTTCAATTGAACAACAGCAACAACAACGATAGCAGAAATTTCAACAAAAACAAAAACAACAACAAAGTTTCAGCATAAACAACACTCAATGTTATGTAATGCAATTGTCAATTACAATTACAACTACAATTACATTTACAATTACACTCCGTTACGTTTTGCGAAGCCTAGCTGTGCCAAAGGCTTGCAACTAAAACAATAACAACACCAAACAAGAAGTGCAGCTATAATAATAGTAACAACAAAAACAACAAGAGCTGTTGATTTCATGTGTAAATTATTACGTTATGAACGACAACGATAAGAACAACAACAAAAACATGAGCAAGGACAACATAAACCTGCAGCATAATTGAAATTGTTGCACAAACATGTTGTTATTGCAAATTGTGCATAAATATACATTTCACCATGCAAACATACAAACAAGCAAGCATAAGAGTTACATATACATATACATATCTGTTTATGTACACGTATGTGTGCACCGTAGTGCAGTTGTTGGGTTTCTGTGTACTCCTCTACTCTCGGTTGTCATTCAGTTTGTTTGCTTGGTCATTTGGCCTGCAGGCTCAAAGAGGTACCAAATTGTTTTTGTTATTGTTTTTGTGCTGTTGTATGCTTTTAGTTGTATGTACAAGTATGTATGTTATTTTTCGCTTTCATTTTATGTTTGCTGTTGCATATTATTTCAGCTGTTGTCATCAAGCATGTAGCTCTTGGCCTAGCTGCTACTGTGTCTTGCCACATTAAGGCCGCATGGTTGTGTGTGAGTGTCTTACATGCAAATGCCCATATGCAAATTTAGTGATTTAAACCTTTTTGGGAGAGCCAGTGAAAGCACGAGTACAGTAAAAATAACTTTCAGGATGTATAGGGACAAACTCTTAATCAGCATGTACGAGTATAATCCTTAGGTACAGGGAACGTTTCATTATTTTTTTTTTTGAAAAAGTAACGTTAAAATAAGGATCTCTTGAGAATTCCAGTTCTCAAAGAACCCTACTTAAATATTACAATATTACGAATCATCTTCCATGGAAAAGTTACTCAATCATTTTTTATATTTTGGCAACGAATTCCGCTGTTCTAATAATGATCCGGATAATTGGATTTTGAAAATCACTAATCGTAACAAAATACGGCGCTTTGGTATTTAAAGTTCCTTTGAAGATTTGATGATTAAGACAGAGAGTATGAAGATGGATATTTGCAGGTACAGAGAAACGTCCTACGATTTGTTGAAAACTATTTTCCAAACAGGGTGCGCCATCTTCTGCGTCTGAAAGTGCAAATTGGAATGTGAAATAGCGAAAGAACTCTACTTCGTTGTGAAGTACCTTGGCATACTGCTATTAATACGGCTTAAACCACTTAAGCAAGACCCAAGAAATAGAAGAAAATGAGAATTGAATTGTTTTGGTGGGAAAAAAATTATAAATTTGACAAATGTATGGACACTTGCTTGGACTCGGGCTCATATTGACAAATCCTAGTACCATCAACTGTTACCTTGGCACAACTCAAAAAATCTTTACATTTTTCCAGTCCTCACTGATTGCGGAGCGGCGTGACGCAACGCGCAGTAATTTTTTTATATTGAAATGTTCATGCAAAATCTCTCCCGTTCATTCTTTGTTTGTTCGAAAACCTTCTGCTATCTGCCATGATTTAGTTATTTGATTAGAAATTTTCGACTTTCTGAACATTTTCCTCGAACATTTTTCACGACCGTCAGTGGGGTCATCTTCTCAGGTCTCTCTTCCTTGCTGAAACAGCCGAGCCCAATTTTT